CTACGGCCTCATGAAAATTTTGGCGGGTAAACTATTAACTCGGGAGTCACGGAAAGATATTCATCCCTCAAGGTTTCGAATTCAGCTTTCATGCGCTGGTACATGAAATTTTTAACTTTTTTCCAATGGTTGAACTATTTTTGCATATACTAAAGTACAAAGCATTGAAAATCATTAATAGGCAATCGTTCGATGGGCTAAATTGCACAAAACGCATGATCGCACCGGCTAGTCTGGTGCGTGTTGCTATTTATTTATTTCCTTACATCTTTCATAAACATATTCCAACTAAAATTAAAATCAAAATGCTTTGCAAAGTGGTGCCCGCCCCGACAATCAGTAGCATCAAAAGAGAGAAGTGTGACACAGCAATCATGTTGGGGCAAGCACGCGGGGACTGTTACCCATTGCAAGCAGCGTACGTGAGATCAAACTCTCGGCCGGCGAAGCTGCACCAGCTGAACAAGGTGCATCTCTAAATCCTTGCTTTGGCCTTAGTTCCGGCACAACAAAAAGAGTAAATCCGGACATCGAAAAGAAACCCCCGCACCATTGCGGAACAATCACACAACGTGCAAACTGCTGAGTCAGATGCGGCTAACGCGACCTGGCTCAATGCCAAATTTGGCTACATGTTCGAGGGCAATTGCTAAACTTCGGCTCAACCGATACTATAGAAAAGCTCCAGTTTCTTTGCCAACGCTATTTCGCAGCGTCGCAAACTGGCACGGCTTGGCACTTTGACAACGGACGTGGGTAGCGCTACCCGGTATTTGGCTGCTCGATCACGTAGTTGAGGGGTGGCGGATGGGGGAGGGGGATGGGGGATTTGACATGGTTGGGAATGGTGGTGGACAAGCGTCTAGGTGCGGATACGGGTTGACGACAGGATAGTGGAGGAGAATAAGGATGCTAGTCAGGCGATAAATAATAGCAGTGGTTGGGGGTGAGAAGCAATGGGTGCCCAGATGCGGCTCTGGAAGCGAGATTTCTGGGCAGGATAGAGGAGTGGAACAAGGGTACCAGTCGGAAGTTCAAGGCAAAAACTGGAAACAGCACTAAATAAATAGCAACGCGCACCAGACTAGCTAGTGCGATCATGCGTTTTGTGCAATTCAGCCCATCGAACGATTGCCT